ATGTTATACCATGAACAAAAGCCAATCCAAAATGAAGAGCTAGTGTGTGAAAAATTGCCCGACTTCACAGCTTCAAAAAGGAATTACTGAGTATAAGTGGCAGCGACAATCCACGTCAATAAATGATGATGAGCATCTGTGATATTCTCTGTGTGTTAAGGCAGTTACCAGTATTTCCGGGAGGGCATATCTCACTCCAAAGACCATATGATGACTACAGAAACTGCCAAAAAAAAAAAAAACATCTCAGACTCTAGAGGCCTCAGTTAGCATGTTAATTGTTAAAGTATAGCATGAGTTTACATGGATGCATCTGTAGAAACAACAGCAATTGCAAACAAATTTCAAAGTCAATGACCAATCAGATAAAAGTGTGTACAACCCACAACATTATCAGCATAATCACCTGACACTACATGGTGGTGGAGAACTGACGATTTTGGGCTTGTTTTGAAGCCAAGAAATAGTAAAATAAAAGAAAAAATTATCTGCAGGCAAAATATGTTTAGAAAATTATAAGAACAGCTTGCATTCTGAAAAATAAAGCCAACGCCTAAAAGCCTCAAACCTGCATTCTGTGTAATAGACTAAAGGGGGTGAACCTTTTGGTATTCGTGTCTCCTTTTTTTGTTGTTATCTTTAGGCTTTTCACAGAAATTTTCAATCTCATCGGCAGAAATAAGTAATCTTTGAGGAATGGGAGTTTTGATTTCTATAATCCCCGACTTGATACATCCTTTGCTGGCTAGGAGACGTGTCGACAGCATACCAACTTCGATCCCTCATTCGTTGCACTTACATGTGGCATGATCGGAAATGGAAGTGCATAAGTGTTGGTTTGAATGGTCATTTGAAAAATAGACTTAAAAGATCCATTAAGAGGTGAATATTTCATCATAAGGTTATAAATAGTCAATTTGCATATGATCTTCTTAAAAAGTCAAGCAAACTAAAATGAAGTAGGAATTTTTAGGGTTTTCTGTCCTATCCCTTGTTTATGATGTGCCATAACCAAATCTCCACAATGTCACAATGTATACTCTCTGATTATCATTTCTAAGGCTGGAAATTAAGGGAAATGCTGAAGAGTCTAAATGGGAAATTCTTCTAACAGCAACTTGAATGTTTGTAGATCCCTAGTAGCGTGATTTGTTGTTGTTCATAACAGCAACAACAAAAAATGGTTACATTCTGGAACTAAACTTAGTCTCAGTACTCTTTTCATGACAAAAGTAGGATGGTGAAGTTTTATGACTTATATCTCCTATCTGCAGTAAGGCCTAAAGTAAACTTGTTAAGGGGTTTGCTACTTTAAAAAACACCTGAATCTCTTAGACCACTAACCAATAACTAAGAGTGAAGGTGAGCGGGAGAAATAGAAACAAAACAGAGGCGATCAGTTGGCAGACTTTGTGGGGTGGCATGCCATGAGGACATCAGTTGTCACCTCTGTTTGTTAGATTAGACTCTGGTTTGGTGGCATGGTGGGAATGACCACTGGGTGCTAATTCAGAGGAAAGAACAAGAGAGGGAGGGGGCTAAACCTAACTAAACAGGAGGGAAATGTGCAGACAGAAACCAAAGCATTTGGAAAAATGGTATGTCAGTTTTGCTGATGTCTATAGTAACAGTAGCCTCCAATTTGACATTCCCTCATCAAACATTGGTTTCCATTTTTTTTCCCTCTCTTTTTCGCTTCTTTTTGACCTCCTTAAAAGAACAAGCCATGTTTCCCAGGGCCCAGCTATTTGAAGCTCATAGTTTTGGTCTTCCAAGGTTTTCTGTTCCAACTCAAGCCGTTCAGACGCTGTCCCCACTTACATTTCCACAATGGCCGGGTCCTGGGGTCCAGACCATAGCCGCCCTACGTTCTGCCCACAATTGAGTTGCCTCTGGCAGCACTGCTGCATGCTTTGTGTGCTGGTTCTGGCTGCCGATCAGGGAAACCCCACAGTCTCTCCATGGTGAATGTTGAGGTCCTTGCCAAGTCCATTATGTATCCCTTCAATGGCCATGAATAGTTGCACACTACAGTACAGAGGATTTGAGAAACGTGCAATTCGCTCAAGGATACAATGGAAGACCATGACACAGATCCTGACTTTTTTTTATCTAAACAAATCCCTTACATGATTTTTTTGCGTATTGTGACTGTGAGTCTTTTTCCGATGCGCAACATCAAAACAAAACAAAATAAAAATGCGTCCCGCACAATTAAACACGGAAAGCATTGAGACAGGCTATGAATGTTGTTCTTTGGCCTAATGAATTAGCTACATATGAGTAAGAAGTGCTTTAGGACATGTCAAAAAAGGCTATTGGTTGTTATTGCAGCTAAACAAATGACAGTGGGAAACTTGTCATGTACACATTTATAACTCTTAAATAAGGGGATTAAGGCTTGTTCCATATTTTCACTGAGTTCACATACCACATATTGAACCACACTAACCTAATAATCTCTACTACATTAAATAAATCATGTTTGTCAGTTTCCTGGGCTTTTACTCATTTTGACTTCTTCTCCTCACAGAAAAGAGGTTCAGACTAGAGTGTAGCTACCTAATTTCTTCACATTTTCTGTACATAAAGGCACAAGACTGAATTGAAACAATGTTGCTGAATAAAGGAGATTTCAGGTATTTTTGCATTTAACACAGTGAAAAATTTATTTATTTCTCCAAGCTAATGCAAAGTATCCCTGCACCACCAGACTCTGGTGGGATACCAAGATGAGTCACATCAGCTAACTGGCAGCTGGCATGCTTGCAATATCAGCCCATCCTGTTAATCTTACGATTAGCCTTCACTGATCCCATCAGGACTGCCTGGATCTGGGGTGCAGAGCCCAAGGGTTTATCCAGCAAGTCGGCCCTATGACACGCTGACCACTGCACTCACACACGAAAGGGGTCCTCACTAAAAATAAGGCAGAATCATCCAAAAATGTAAGTTTTATAATAGCAGTTTAGAGAAGCTGCAACACTGCGCAGTCCTAATTTATTTTTCTTTGCGTCTATTAAGCCAGGCCTTTTATTAATAGTTCAAAAATAGTCCTAAACAATCATTTCCAGGTTGTTTAAGGATATTTTTATCTTTTTCTTTGGACATCTGCTGTTTTTACCAATTTTCCGTGCTGTCCAGACTCAACCATTTTCAGAAGTATGTTGTTTCAGAAGCATTGAATCGATTTCAGATACTGTCTTTAGGAATTTTGGTACCAGTAGGATGGATGGTAAAGCACAAAAGGAACAACAAAAGGCAACCGTTACCCAAAGAAGAGCTTTGGAACCATAGAACCTGCAGAGTTATTCTCAATACTACTTAATAAGAGCTTGTCCTAGAGAGTTCAGACAACTGAACTCATCATGTCTTTGCCTCTCTTTTGCCCACTAACATATTCACAAATCCACTGTAGCTCTATCACTAGATGCTATTGGTCATGAAATATGTCAGACGGGGCCAACCCAAAAGTTAAAGGGACAAATGCAGAGCTCCTTTGACAATTAAAAGGGTAGGAGGGAGGGGGGAGGGGTTTGGGTGGCTGCCAAGTGACATGCCAAGACATGCTCGGAGGTTCAACTATGAAGACACAGATAGCAAAAGAACAACACTTAAATATCATACATCACTTACAAAATGCCATAGGCACGTGCGAGCAAACAATATGAACACATAATCTGAAACAGTTTCATTCCTCTTAAACGGTGGATATAATACATTAAACAGAATGTTGCATTTCTATTTTAAGTGGAAGAATTTCAAATGTATCCCAAATACATTTACATTCAATAAGCAACAAAGTAAAGGATTTCTGTTTACTTACTAACATACATGCTTATGAGTATACGTCCAACAATGTTTGAGATGCAATTCAGCTTTCTATTCACAATAAGCTCATTTCAGCAGCATGAAGCATCTCTCTGGCTCTGACTGGAAACCAATTTTGAAAAAGAAAAAGAAAAACAGGAATGCTGGAGGCAATTATTTCCCATAGCTCTGTGTGCTGGGGTCAAAAGAGACTTGGCCATAAACGCTTGGACACCAACAGAGACAGACCTCTGACCAAGCAGGCCTTGTTTTATTCTCTGCAGCCACTAATGTGAGCTACTGGATGAGGCCTTAGCTGTTTAAAATTACAGCACAGTGTCATTGTGTGTCGTAAGTGACCCACAATGCATGTATTCATTCAACATGAACACATAGGACAGTAATGATCCAGTTTTAGCACATGAAGTAAGAAAGGTCAAGAAAAATCTCGAAATAATCGGTGCTTTAAGTCCGACACTGAATAATGTTTCTTGCTAACACACTGGCAAGCTTTCCTTAGAGTTACCTCATGGTGTGTCACGACACAGCAATAATTATAAGTGACGACAGCCAAGATGCCATTTTTTGCTGCTGAACACGTTTGACAAGCTCAACAAGAACATAATACTGAGTTGCCAACGTGAGAGGCCTTCTTTAAACAAAAGGCCTTGTGCTCCCTGGACACAATATTGTCAAAGACAGTCCAATTCTGGTTAAACCTGCAGCGTGATGTCATTTAAATCACAATTGCAAACCTACATTTGAGCCAACATAAAATTATATAATTCCCAGATGTTTGTGTTAGGGTGGGGGAAGAATTTTGGCTTATCCGTTTCACTTAGCAATTTCAACTGCTTTTCCCTTTTCCATTCATGCCCTGCAAAGATTTTTTCAGCTGTTCTGGCCGAGCTCGAGGAGAAGTGAATGAAACGGACTGGAATGTACCATTACGCTTCAGGGGGGCGTTTACTCTAAATATCCGTATATCTAACATACAATCAAATATAAACTATATAACCGCAAATCTTCAATGTTTATTGTCTTTTTTAATATATTACAACGCGGAGAAGGAGTATTTAATACGCCAACGAATATTTTCAGAAACAGACATCCCCTCCAGGATCTTGGAAAATTGGTGTGCGCCAAGATGATGTAGAGCAGCCCTTTAAAGCCGCTCCACTTCCGAGATGAAGTACAGAGGAGTCCAACCGCGCGAAGTGGAGCCCGGAGCTGACAATCAGTATTTCTGAAAAAGAAAAGACTTGCTCTATCAGACAGGCTATGTTGAGACAGCACATGCGGCCTCTGGGATGTTTATGGAGTTGGAATATAAGGAGTTATCTCTTTTGTCCAGTCGTATGTAGGACGTGGCGTTTGGGGCTGCACTGAAGCAGTACATGTATAGTTGTAATTCGCCAAACGCCGTGCACATTTTTGAACGCGCAAGAAGACAACCACAGCAACCTGGACTCCTCTTGTACTACAGGAATGGTTTATCCTCCCGAAGGTGTATTCTACATCGAAATGGATCAAGCACCACCAGGTAAGTTAGGGTTAAAGGCAGCCATTGTGCGATCCGCGGAGGCTGCGGAGCTTTTCCTTCGCTTTAAGCTTTCCTCTGCTGACATCTTGTCGCGATTTAGCCTGTGATAAAGTTGTCCAAAAAAAAGAAGAAGAGGGGGGGGTTGCTCAGGTGTTAGGACAGCGTTATACATAACGGCCAGCTCCGCGGCGCTGAGCTCCCCCAGTGGCATTGCCCAGGCATGCATAGCGCAATTCACTTGGCAATTACGTAATAGCTTTCGGAGGCTCGGGCGCAGAGGCTCGCCTCCTTTTCTTTTGTCCCGGCACACGGGACAAAACTCGGACCGCTAACCGTCGCCGCAGGTCTGCGCTTCCTCGCCGAGGACTTGTGCAGATGGAAAGGGGGTGCTTTTTTTTTTGGGGGGGGGGGGGGGGGGGGAGAGGGTTACTGGAGGCTGGGCTGAGGGGTTGCCGTTAATGAGCTCCGCATGAAACGGCCGCTTTGTTCTCGTCCGCAGCCAGCCGTGCTTAATTGGTGCGCGAGCTCAGAAAGTGGGCTACATGCTAGGAGACGAGACGGCTCGTCCCATGACGCAACTCCGGCAAACTCACCCACGGCTCCTTCTCCTATTTACCTTTGTCACTTGACAGTCCGGTTATAACGATGTCGCAACTGCTTTGAAGTCAAACAGAACCCACGTATTTCAAAGTAAGTTGTCGTAGAAAAGGTGGCAAAACCTCGAGTCTGGTAACGCGAAGGATTTCAAGTGGGCAGTTTTAATTGAACGTCATAAGCCAAAAAAGGATTGTTGGAACTGGCCATTGATACTGCTGACACACCACGGGCACAATGAGAGAGCCTGTATTGTTCTTGTTTGGTCTAAACTTGGGTTTAGACCCAGTGTGGGTCTGGACACTTGGCCATGACATGTTTCCCATGTGTGCTTTAACATTTGGGTTATTAAAGTGGGTGTGCTACCGGGGCAAATGTAGGTTTTGGAAACCAGTTAAGTATTATTGGCAAGAGACTAAGGAGGTGAGGGAATGTGTGCATATTTAATTTTTGTTCAAGAGCCATTATTTTTTTTATTTTTTTTTCCTTTTTTTTCCTTTTGCTCTGCTGCACCTGCCTTTGGTTTATTTTAAGGTCAGAAAAAGAGGAGAACGAGCGGTGGGAGACGGCCACATTTTGTAGCTCTCTCTGAGGGTGCTCTTGTGTTCTCCCCTAACCGCCCCATGAAAGGCACTTTTGTCCCGCAGTGAAATATATCGCCCTTCACCTCCTCTTGATGCGGTTGACCCTTTTTCTTTTTTTGCCGAATTTTTAAGGAAAGCCAGAGTCAAGAGTTTTTTCCCCCCTTCCCCCCCCATCATTTCAAGGTTGATGGAAAACTTGCAATGTTAATGTTAAATGGATTATTGTTATGAGGCTTGCCATGCCATTTGGAACAGAATAAACTGCAATCTGCATGGGTTTTAGGGAACCGAAAGCCAATGTTTTATGAGGAAATGATCAATCCGCAATTGTTTAATGCTGTTGCTCAGAAAAAGTAGCCACATCCCCCTGTTAGAGCTGACCACACACATGATTTGGCAGTTGACATCTCTTGGAAACATGCCTGGGCTTGCCCGCTGATCTTCTATCATGCAAGGGTGCTTCAAAGAAGTGTGTTCCTTGGCTTGGAGGAGGAGGGGCGGGTCGTAATATTCAAGAGCTCCTGTTTTACCAGACTAGAGGCGTTGCAGCCTCCCTGAGATTCCTCTCTAAAATCTTTAATTTCATTATCCCTCTTTTTCTTTTGGGTGTAGCTCTTCCTCCCAGGTCCTCAAAGCCAGTGATGTCCACCATGAACAACAACTGCCTTTCCCCACCTGTGCACTCGCTACACGATGCTGAATGGTATTGGGGAGACATTTCAAGGTAACGCATTGCAATGCTCGTTCGTCCTGTACACAAATCTGCGTCTTTAGATCGACAAACAAACAAACCTTTCTTTTTTTTTTTTTTATTCCCTGCAGAGATGAAGTGAACGAAAAGCTTCGGGACAGCCCCGATGGCTCTTTTCTTGTGCGTGACGCATCCACAAAGCTGCAAGGAGACTTTACACTGACATTAAGGTAAGCCGAAGAAAAGGAGAGTAATCCCTTACAAACAAAGCATCATCTTAGATTCACGTTACATTTCAGGTTAATCTAATTTTGCGCTTTGCCATTTCCCGCTGGCAGGAAAGACGGACTCAACAAGCTGATCAAAATTTACCACCGCGACGGCAAGTACGGCTTCTCGGACCCCCTCACGTTCACTTCGGTGGTGGAGCTGATTTGGCACTATCAGCACCATTCGCTGGTGGAGTACAACGCCACGCTGGATCTGATGCTCACGCATCCCGTGTCACGATTCCAGCAGGTTAGTCAGCGCGTGTGCTGGTCTTCCGCATTCCACAAGTGAAAGCCAAACATGAATCGGACGAAAAGGTATTTGAGGGATTCGGAGCCCGTGCTTAATGCGTTCTTTTTCCTTCAGGTGACAGAGGACAGTGTGGACGTCGCCGGGCGGAAGCTCAAAGAGGTCCACAACCGGTACCAAGAGAAATCCAAGGAGTTTGACCGTTTATATGAAGCCTTCACAAAGACCTCACAGGTTCAAAACTTAAGATTTTCCCCTTGTTTGAGAGGCAGCTCTTTTGTCGAGGGGGCATTGTGACACTGAGGGAGTGTTTGAGGGTGAGTCATTCTTGACAGGAGTCGTTCTCTGTGACGCAGGAGATCCAGATGAAGCGCACCGCCATCGAGGCCTTCAACGAGACGATGCTGATTTTTGAGGAGCAGTGTCGCGAGCAGGAACGCTACGGAGAGGAGTTTGAGAGGAACAGCCCTTCGGAAGGAGCTGACACAGATTTGGAGAGGTACTTCATCACATAATGGCTTGAAAATGATAACTCTGCTCACTCAGCTCATGTTCCTCTTATTCAAACCCTTGATTGGTACTGCTCCCCCCCTCTTTTTCTTAGTTTTCTGATAAATTACGAGAAGCTCAAGTGCCGTCTCGGGGAGATCTACGACAGCAAAATCCACCTGGAGGAAGACTTGAGGACGCAAGTGGAGGACTACAGAGAGACGGACAGGAAGATGAACAGTTTGAGGCCAGACCTCATCCAGCTACGCAACATCAGAGACCAGTACCTAAAGTAGGCGCCTCACCTGTTGTAACTCACCATAGGCTTTTTAAACCAACAAACTGTGTGATGCTGAACATATATGAGTTTGATAGAAACCAAAATCTTCTCTTTGCAGCTGGCTTAATCACAAAGGAGTGCGACAGAAACGGATAAATGACTGGCTGGGGGTACACACCGACAGTCTGGATGAGTAAGTTGGCTCCCTCGGATTCTTTTAAGTGCGGCATGTTGCAGCTCGCAATCGAATAGAGTGGTTCTGGCGCCGCTGTCCTAACGCCGCTGTCGATCCTTTAGCACGTACGTGTTGAAGGGGGACGAGAAGAACCTGCCACACCAGGACGAGGCCAGCTGGTTTGTTGGCGAGCTGAGCCGGCCGCAGGCCGAGGAGATGCTCCAGGGGAAAGCGTCCGGGACGTTCCTGATCCGCGAGAGCAGCAAACAGGGATGCTACGCCTGCTCTGTTGTGTGAGTACCAAGCCCGTCTGGCGGGGATGTGACCAGTTGGGCGCGAAGGGGGTTGAAACTGACCGCTGTCTCTTTTTTTTTTTCCTCGTTCCATCACAGCGTGAACGACGAGGTCAAGCACTGCATGATCTACAGCACGCCGCACGGGTACGGCTTCGCCGAGCCCTACGACGTGCACTGCTCGCTGAAAGAGCTGGTCCTGCACTACCGCCTGAACTCCTTAGCGCAACACAACGACGCCCTGGACGTGCGGCTGTCGCACCCGGTGCACGCCAAAGCCCCCACCCCGGCCTCCCAGCGCACAGAGGAGCACAAACTGTTACAGACTCCAAAACACACGTCGGGGCTCCCGCCCGCCGCCCCGGAGATGTAAAGACACGGGGGATAGGACAAACAACAACGACTTTAAAAAAAGGACACGTTTACTGAATGCTGCGAGAACGACTGCATCAACGGTGCATTGCGGAAAGGTTTGCACTACGGCGATTCCATCAATTGTGAAGGGGATTTGTCAGATTGAAGTGGGACCGGAAGTTGAATGTCAGCTTGACTGTTTAAGCTTTTCCAGTTAATTTTAGACTTCATTTATTGCTGTTTGTTCTAAGGACCCCTTCTCTGTTAGGGATGTCCACAGCCTGAATCTTCTTTTCTTTTTTTTTCCCACTGGCATCAGGTGCTGCACCTTAAAGTTGACGTTGCCAGATTTGCGTTTCCCAAATGAGAAGTTATTCGGTTCGTTTAAAAAAAAAAAATCTGATTAGTATGTCAAGAAATATTGGGTTGCTACTGCGAAGCACATTTGTGAAGTAGTGGGCGGGATGGTGCTGTAACAGGTTGGTGGGCCAAACCATTTTTGGGTTAAAATGCCACGTGTGAATATGTTAAAAGGTTGTGCTGCATCTTAACCATTTGCCCCTTTCTTAACAGATATTCATATACAGTGGATAATTATGTAGCATTAACATACTGTAGAAAACCATTGTAAAAGCATACTCAATGTTATACCCATTGACCAAAGCACTTAATAGTAAGCAAAACTACATCCCTGTTTAGTGTGGTAACTGCATTTGGGCAAGGGTAGGGCAATTTATGTACACCTGCTGATGTGCTGATCAAAACATAATCTGAAGTACTGTATGTTATATTCTGTTATTCAAAGAAGTATAAGCTTTTTGTATTCTATATATTTTTTCTATAAACATGCCACAAGATGAAAGCTTGAAGAACGTGCAATCCAACAGTATTTCTATTGTTGCAATATGTGACGATGACGGCGGTGGGGAAGGTGGAGGCGGCGGGGAAGGTGATGCTGTTCCGAGAGGTTGACATTTGCCACAAAAATGCACTCTCCCTGCTGGTGTTGGTATGATGTGGCCTCCGATGTTTGTGTGAACTGCCAGAGGTCCGGAAGTATCCTGCCTCCCATTACTTGAACTGTGGCATTGCTCGAGCTATGAATGTTTTTTCATGACATGCAGCCTACATAGCTTAAGAGGAAAGGCATCCATGTTGAACTTGGCACATTTTTCAAGTCTGAGGACAATGGACACTTTGTATAGAGATACCGTACAATGTATTTCTGACGTTGGTTTGCGGAAGGAGGTTGATGAAGCCTCTTGAGAAATTTTACTCCACTGGAGGACTGAGGAAACTCCTCGAGTGAAGCTGAGCAATGTGAGATCCTGACCTTTTTCATGCTGAAAGACAATAAACTGAAGAGAGTTTTGTCAACTCATGTAGTCTGTTGCTTCTTTTTCATTTCAAAGAACTGCCTTTTTGTGATTGTTTCTCAAATTTTACCACATACTGAACAGTACTTACGATGTCCCGGCCAAAGAGACCAAAAACCATTGCAAAGAAGATTAAAAAAAAACAACTAATGATAAGTGCTTGTTACAAAGTTGACCGTGCAGCTTCAGTGGAGCCATTTTAAGCTTATCTTTGGGTCAGTGGAGATAGAAGGCAACTGGGGCACTGGAGGACACGTTGTAGACAGATGGAAGAGAAAGGAAGCGATAAAGACAATGGCAGGATATGTGCAGGCTCTTTCCGTACTCAGTCTGGCCGCCGTTGACTCACCCGAAAAATATGCGTCGGACCCACGTCATCCTGGACGCACGGCATTTTAGAACCTTCTTTTCTTTTTTTTTTTGATGCTTCTGTAAACGGGCCCGAGGCCCGACACTGGGCGCCGGAGAGCTTTGCGGCGGCCTCGTCCTCGTCCGGTGTTGCACCGTTTTTTTTTTTTTTAAACTTGCTAATTACTCGGGGTCGGTGTTGACTCGTGCAAACCCTTTGGTATGTTGGACCCAGATAATGATGACCTCGAATGGCACCGTCTCCGGCCCTCCGTGACAACAGCAACAGGTGGCCTCTTTCAACTATCACATGAGGCCTGTGCTAGGTGAGGATTAATGAGGTGCAGAAGGCAGGGATGTACCTGAGAGGGAGAGCCTAAAGTTCCAGGCCACGGATTACTCCCTGTTACCTGTGTCAGCTTGGAGGGCTCTGCTGGGATTGACCATATGCACTGTGGGAAGATACACAGGACGAAATGTACCAAAGCTGAGTCACCCTCTGGATGCGTGACCGTCCAGAAGACAAAGAGAGTGAGAGTGGGACGGCAGAATGGAAAAGAGGAGGGGCAGGAAAGAGCTCTCAGAAGCATTTCTCTCTCAGTTGCCAAATTCTCTTAATATGAGCGCCTTTGGGTTCATTTAACAATAAAGTCGGGTTACAAATGGTGGTTAGCCTGTGGATTTGCTCTCAAACTTGTCTCTTTCCTTACTTTGACTAAATCCAGCCAGCGTCTAAGGTCCTCCACCCTTTCTCATTCCCCATTACACCCACGTTACAGCTGGGGAGTGAGGCAGACGCACGACTCTGCCTTTGTCTGATTCGCTAACAAAGCTGTGGACTGAGCAGGCAAATTCGGAGCAAACGCACCACAAGGATCCGCAAAGGACGACGGCCTTGTTTTTTTTTTGTGCACGCATCTCACCCCGACCCGAGGAGAGAAATGCACGTTTGTGTTTGTTTTGCCGTTAGTCAGCCTGGAAGCACTAAGCCAGTTCATTTGGTAAAGACAGAGAAACCCAACGCAGCCTAATAAGACCATCCCACGACAACTCCTCCGCCATGATTGCTACATGGTTTGAATTTATTAAAATGGTGTGAGAGAGGTGGTGATTCAACTTGAGGATCATTTGGGAGAATGTGGTCTCGGGCACCTCTCCACAGTATTAAATTCGACATAAATCTGTTCGGTTATTTAGCCTGGATTCACAAATGTAAATAAGGGGCTCACGATAATAAAGCACCCAAAAAACTGGAGCCTTCACAATGAACACACAGTCGAATAAGGGCAGATTTATTGTAGGGGTGGTGGATCAGACTGCATTGCTCTTACCACAGGGATGGCTTGTGCTTAGTTTTTTTAGGTTCATGTAAAAAAAAAAAAGGTGGCTTGTTTCTATCACAGATTTTTTACGTTTGTGCACAAGTGCAAAAGGTGAGTACGTCAATTAGAAGTTTCTGTAAATATAAATTTTTAAGCAGGTAAAATGGACTCATTACCAGTGTGTGTTTAATTTCCTGTGCACACTTTCTAAAGGATGAACGAGAAAAAGAGCATCTGAATTACTTAACAAGCTGGGATGAGCTCATGTGGTATAAATCCTTCAGTTTCATGTCCCAAATTATCTTTTGCCCAGCACCAAGAACTTTAACATCTGCAACAAAGCATGAGAGGCCAAAATGAGGTGGCGTGGCTTTTTTTAAGAAATGCTTTTTTTTGTTCTTAGTCTATCAATATTAAGAAACAGCGAGCGTAGTGAATAGTAGTAAACAGGAGACTAGAAAGTTTTTAAAGTCTGCACAAATGGAGTCTTTATTCCAGCGTTGTCAAAAGAAAAACCTTTCTGCAACCTCGCAAATTTCGCATCAGAGGATCTGGAAGTTTTTTGGCCGGCGTAACTTTATGAAAAGAGCACCTCGAACTGTGAGGCACGGGTGCGGATCAGTTACGCACTAAATGCAGCTGGTGCCACGGGGGACGATTTAAGGATCTCCGGATAGAACTGAAAAGAGAAGTGCTTTGAGGATAGACAGAGAGGACCTCACAGAAATAAAAGCCTGCGTGGGGAGAACAGCTGAAAATCCCCCAGAGAACACAAAAACACTCTTATGACTAAAAAAGGAGTTTACAAGCTTTACTATTTGCCAAAGGGAGTGTTACTATGTACAGACCGTAAAGGGTGCTGAAACTTCATCCTGAGGCCCTTTTTTGTTCTTTTGTGACTTTATGGCAAGTAAAACGAGCGTTTGCCTGAGATATTGAAGTTTAATCATTGGTTTATGTCAAGATTTCCTGATGTGAAGCCATTTTATCTTATTATTCGCTGTATCAGTAGTCCTGACAACTTTTGAATGCCACTGCAAATAAAACAGAAGACTGGAAAGGTCAAGTTGGCCCTTTTTTTCTTTCTCTTTTTTTCTCTTCACATTTCCTCTCTTGGAACACACTCCCACCTGGCAGTGTCTTAAAGCTTTTGGCTTTAGTGCCCCCTTCTAGTTCCTGCAGCTCCCAGAGTCTGACTCCAAACTATGTAGGAAACCCAGCCCCCACGTCTTTTTTGTTTCACTCATTTCTGCTCAATTTCTCTTTCACTGTCAGCACACCTCGGCAAGAACAACATGCGGGTTTGAGTCCATCATAGTTTACATCATAATTCTCGATTTAAACGAGTCCTGGCTGAGAGGAGAATGGGGGGTGGGGGTACCTCTGGAATGACGCCTAAAAACGCACCCGTACACACAAACACACGGGGCTGTCTCGCAGGCTTTAAGAAAAATAGGTTTTCGCTTTCAGTTTGGATAAGCCAATCGTGTCTCACCTCCCCTCTGTCTCTGTCCGATTCCTCAGCTTCATGCGATTCGATGAACCAATGAGAGCCCTAGAATGTGCTGCTCGTCGACCAATCGCTGAGCAGTTGCTATGTTGGAAGCAGAATCGATAAGAGTTTTTTTTCCCTCTCTCTTTTTTTTTACTAGCTCACATTATAGCTGGCTTATAGGCTGAGGGCAAAAGATCCTGTTGCTTGCCAACCAGTATGTAGGCTACAGATTGAGCCATTAAACTCACCAGAGCCACGTTGTGGTGCATACCAACACTAATAAAAGTTGTCTGTATACCGTTTGTGAGTCAGTCAGATTTGTTGAAGTCACAAAGAAGCTAAAACAATTTTTAAAGATTTATATAAAATCATATAAACCAGTTTCTGTCTGAAAATGATGTGTGAGTTTTAACTTTAAGTTTTCCTTTTAATGTCCCGGCAGTCCATAGAAAAAAGTACAAGTGTTTTATTAGTATTATTAGTTATTGTTGTCGAAATAATAAGAAGGCAATAAAAGCTAATGTATGCTAAATTAGATAAATAAAGAGGATTTTGTTTTAAGAGCTGCGAACACTATAAATAAGCTAAGTTGTTGTAGCTTGTGCATGGTGCCCCATGCTGTTTTGTGTTTGCCTTGAATACTTTTTGATCTATCCAATCCTTTGTTGACCTCTGTTGACAGGGATTTCAGTAATGAGCTCAGATCATACTGAAACAGAGGTGCTGCTGATACAGCTCAGGAATAGCATACAACTACTTTTGACAAACCGTCGAGGAGAATTGCAAATCCAAATCCACAACTCAATCAGATTGGCAAGATACCAGCTTAAGCACAGATGGGAGATGACTCCACATCTTTTAAAAAGTGAGCATAAAATGTTGCCATGGTGACTTTGCACGATTTCCTCTTAACTTGGTCACGTACCATGTTGTGTTTTTTCCACGAGGGAGTGTATCGTAACCAATTATTTCAGGTGCAATAAATGAAGCACCTCAGCATCGCTCAAGCTCTGGGGACAATCTCATTGGTAATGTTCAACTCTCAGCTAGATTAAAACAACAACCAGGGGGCACGTGGCCAGCAAACTAATGTAGCAAAGGACGGAAAGACATCAGCTGCGTTGCAGTCTAGGAGTTCAATATGCTGTCGGTGGATTGTAGATGAGGAAGTCAGCCAAAATCGGGAGAGGACAGAGGTCATAAGTTGAGAACAGAGACCTTAACTTGCAAGCCAGCAGGAAGAGGGAATTAGTAATACCAAAAAAGTCACACCACACATCTGAATATGGGTTTCAAAGGTGATGGCAATTTTATAGGAATACTCCCACCACAGAGTCATCACTTGTTTTGTGTAATACGGAAAGCTTTTAATGCAATCAGAAAAATATGAACTCTACCTACTCCCATGTGAACCCTCCGCCTGTCGGTTTCATCTCAAAATATTTTCCTTTCCTGGTTAAAGCGACGTCTAGCCAGGACAGAGCCCCGATGAAAAACTCAAACATACCCTCCACTTAAAACAGAACAGCAATTATGGTGAGCACTTTCCATAGAATGACCCTCGCACTATTTACTTTGTCTCCCGCTACATGGGAAATTCTGGGAGCGAGGCGAACGCTCACCACAGCGGAGAGACATAAAGATCGGTGAAAATAGTATCATGCTCATGACAGGCAAAAATCAGAGACTCAAACGGGGAAAGAAAAAAACAATCAAGCCAAGACTAACACCAAAAGGAGCCTGTGTTACCACATTGATTTTAGCACCTCACCTACTTATTACACCCTAAAACCTGTTTTACAAGGGACACCATCCCACACAGCACTATCAAGAACAAAAGACACACTGTCCTTCGACAAATTAAACACATAAAATAAAAATGTAAGAAAAATCATGGCTCGTGTCATATTTCTTTTGCAAAAGTTTGCTGTCTTCCTCAATGGCTTCACACAAAAAATAAATTCTGAGGTTCTGATTGAAGTGATCATCAGTGCTTGATAGGCATGTTGGTGAGAGCATGTATGTAAAATGCACAGTGTGTGTGCTGAATGGAGGTTGCAGTCACGCTTCAATGAAACACTAATGAGGCTCTTGAATTGCTAATAAGCTCTGATCACCTCATGACTGCTAAAAATAAGTAATGCGATGAACACATAAGTTTAGCTTACGTGGAAACCAGCTGTAATCGTGCCAGATAAGGAGGAGTTGGAGAATAACCGGTCAGGAAGGGTTTTTTGGAACCTTTTTTTTTTTTTGTTCTGTTTAAATAGTATGTGAAAACATATCATATTACATGGAAGGTAAAGCAGATGAAACCATGAAGTGGATTCAAGCAAACTCCTGCTGAACAATGATCAAATTATGGAAGAACAGTTAGTTAAATTCACTCATTTTCCCTCAATATTTTTGATGAACTAATGCTAACATTTCACTGAGAGCATTAACTGTTTTTATCCCCACAAACAGGTCAGTCAGTCAGTTTAGAGTTTGAGCTTTGCCTTTTATTGGATTACTTAGATTCCATAGAAGCGGCTTCTATCAAGCTAATTTTTTCAGCTGAGATAATGTCCTTGGAAGAAACTCTTTTGGGGAAACCAGATACACTGGAAATTAAAAGTGCAGTGCAACAGAAGGAAAAAACCCAGTGTTGGGTGTAGCTAAAAGGGTGGTCAGACTGGCACACACAAACCATAAGTTTTTATTGGCCACCGCTGATGCCACCAGATATTCTCTTGTGCACTACTGGTTGTCTAGTTACACACTGAAAAAGCTTGCAGCACCAGTCGAATGACAGATGTTACACGACTTGTATTTCAGGTGTGTCCGACAATTTTTGTGAACGTTAGGGTTTGTTCATAGGTGTTTAATTTCCACCAGACAGGTATTGTGGGTACAGGCAGTAACACAGTCCTATGTGAAATAATAGGTTTCCAACATGGTGTTTAAATCAGTTTGATTTAGGTCAAACAAAGTGGCGGTGACATTGTCCTCTAATATGGTAGCGTCGTAAGCTTGTTGACTTGTTGCTACAGCAAAAGCTGGAGCACAGCTTCACAATTTTGCTGGGGCTGAAATGGCAAGAATACCATGATCATTTTCATGTGGCATTTTGTGGCATGTCGTCAGGGGTTTCCAGTCCTTTAAAAATGTTGCTGAAAAGGCAACACTGCCCCCTGGTGTTTTGTTTTATTACAACAATTCTTTTAAAGTCAGACATTTTTCAATCAGACGAAAAATTGAAAAAAAAAAAGCTTTAGCATTGAAACTATAAAAGAAAATGCCAAAAGTCATTTTTTGTAAGTTCAAAAGTGTTGAATCACGTCGAACTGACGATGCAGTTGATTAGTTAGGGCTGGAGACCAAAGCAGTCGATCCAGAGAAGAAGAACTCGCAGCTTACAGGCCGGCGGAAGTTCTCTGCATCCTTATTAGTAAATATACGGGTAAGTTGGAGCAAAAAACGGAGTCGAATGTGGCTTTTTGTCATGTTCAGGGCCTTATATTTAACTGAGATGAAACCAATGAAACGGTGCATGTCGTGAAGCTGTCTTCTTTCTGTCAGACGTTTGAGGGTTAAATATGACATTTGAATTCACACTTAGCAGACTGGTGATTAGCATGCTAACAGTGGCGACAGGTGTGTTTTTATTACTAAAATGGGAAACTGTGAAACGGATGGCGACCGACTTTTGAATGTCTTGAGGTTCTTTATTGTTTTGCGGCGAAAAATAAATGCTCTGACGTGTATTATTGCATAGCACTGGTGTGCAACCCTTACATTTGTGGTTACACAACACTTGAGGGATCATGTTTTCGCATCAGTTCGTGTGTCTTTCAGGTCACTTTAACACTGAGGCTCCTTTGAAAGGAGATATTCTGGCCTCCATGGTAACAAAGACCCGCCTCGGCTGCCATGTCGTCCGCCTCCGTGTCAACATCTGCTGGTTGTGTTGGTGATGCTGCCGCTGCCATGGCAACGGCGGGCTGTGAGCAGGCGCTGCTGGCTTCGGACCGCTACGCCAGACTCATCCTGGCCCAGATGAACAAGATGCGTCACCGCGCCGACTTCTGCGACGTGGGGCTGAAGGTGGGCGGCCGGGTCTTCAGGGTCCACCGGCTGGTGCTGGCTGCCAGCAGCCAGTACTTCTCCGCCTTGTTCTCAAGTGGGATGAGGGAGGTGGATGAGGACGAGGTGCAGATTATGGGAGTGGAAACGGAAGTCTTTGAGGTTTTGCTTGACTTCATATACACAGGTCTGGATCAATTTCGACCCCCACCCCCCGCCACCCCAGAGCCGGTGTGGTCATGCAGTGTTTTGTGATTGGAAATATTTGTTTGTCCATACCAGGGGCGATCAGCGTTACCGTGGAGAACGTTCAGGAGCTCATTGTTGCAGCCGATATGCTGCAGCTGAATGAAGTGGTGTCAATCTGTGGGGAGTTTCTCAAAGGCCACATGGACCCATCCAACTGTGTGGGCATATTTCAGTTCCTGGAGCAGATTGCCTGCGCGGAAATGCTGGAATATACTGAAAACTACATCCATGTTCACTTCCTGGAGGTACTAACTTACTTTTCCACTGTTTATGAATCTGCTCAGGCTCAGTGTTAAGTGTACTGTTTCCCGGTTTATCACAAAGGGGTCAAAAGTTAACTTATTTTTGTGTTCATGTCGCAAAAGGATCCTTTATCGCATGATTTGTTTCCTCTTAGGTGTGCGTCACTGATGAGTTCAGGGCCTTGTCAAAGGATCAGCTGGTGAGGCTTCTGCGAAGTGAAGAGCTGAGGATTGAAGATGAGTATCAGGTATTCACTGCTGCTATGGATTGGGTTCTCCAAGATGTGGCAAAAAGGAAGAAGCATGTTGTGGAGGTGTTGGAAGCCGTCCGCTTCCCGCTGCTATCCCCGCAGAGACTGTTCAAATATATAGAAGGTGAGCAAAATGCAGGAAAAGGAGCCCTTTTCCACCCGAGTCACATTTTGTGACATTGTTTCAAAAGATTACCATGCCCCCGAGGTCAAAAACACAACCATAGCGCACCGAACAGTGTTTCTGTTGACAAAGTAATACTTAACCGAACAAATGATGGCACAAAGTTTATTTTGTTCTCATTGCTGAGCTTCAATGTGATTTTTCATACCTCCTCCCTAACCCAAACCTCATCACATGCCCCTCTATGTTTTTCTCTGAACATAGGTGTTACCGACTTCAGCCTGCGGGTGGCACTGCAGACTCTGCTGAAGGAATACACCGAGGTCACAAAGTCTCCCAAAGAAAATAAGATATACAGTCAGCTCCAACCAGCAAAGATGAGACCCAGAAGAAAAGCCAGAAAATTCCTCTATGCCATAGGTTCTGTATCAAATACTACTTACTGCTTGTGTACTTGTGTGTGTACTTGTGTGTGCGTGGGAAAGTGGCAGACGTTAAGAGACATTAGGCATCAAATGAAGGGGATTTGTCTGTGGTCTGTGCACCAAAGTCAAGAAGTGAAACTAGCGATTGATCCTTTCTCACTTCTCGGTGACAGGAGGCTACACGCGGCTGCAGGGCGGCCGGTGGAGCGACAGCAGAGCGCTGAGCTGCGTCGAGCGCTTTGACACTTTCAACCAATACTGGACCACCGTGTCCTCCCTGCATCAGGCCCGCAGTGGGCTGGGCGTCGCTGTCCTGGAGGGCATGATCTACGTGGTGGGAGGTGAGAAAGCTCAGTGTTGGCTCTAATTTTGATTTTTGGATCGAAACAAAAACGTCAAATGATACTCCTTTTCTTTTTCACTTCCAGGGGAGAAAGACTCCATGATTTTTGACTGCACTGAGAGATACGACCCAGTTACCAAGCACTGGGCAGCGGTGGCGTCTCTAAATTTCCCCCGCTGCGGAGTTGGCGTGTGTCCCTGCCACGGCGCTCTGTACGCACTCGGTAAAGGCCACAGTTCTTCTACACCCCTGTGTCTCGGCTTAACCTACAAGCTGGTGGCGCAACACACACAAAACATATCAATTAAGCAACAAGAGAAAAAATAACTGCTGACAGAGCCAAACACTTAAAGACGCAGCTTTGAACAAGCAACAGGTGAGTAGCGATGCATCAAAACCTGCCCCATAACGATGTTAAAGGGCAAATGGTCGTCTGATTGTAGGAGGCTGGATTGGATCCGAGATAGGGAAGACCATGGAGAGATATGACCCCGAGGAGAACAAGTGGGAGGTCATCGGCAGCATGGCGGTGCCCCGCTATTACTTTGGCTGCTGTGAGCTGCATGGTGTGTTGCTTTGCTCCTTTTATTAGCTTTACATGTGACACGTGACAATGTAGCGAAGCATGTTGCCAGTAGCATATAGCGGTTTGCACATTTCCGAAAGCCCATGCTGTCGTCCCTTTACAGGATTCATCTATGTGATCGGGGGAATCAGTGACGAGGGAATGGAGCTGCGCTCAGCGGAGGTGTACGACCCCATCTCCCACAGGTGGAGCGCCCTGCCCGTGATGGTCACCCGCCGGGCCTACGTGGGCGTCGCCTGCTTGAACAACTGCATCTATGCTGTCGGGGGCTGGAACGAGGCACTGGGAGCACTGGAGACCGTGGAAAAGTACTGTCCAGAGGAGGTATGGTGCCTTCGAAGGCAGGTTTCCAGGCACAACATTCAGATTTTGCAGCTCCCCCCCCCCCCCCCGACTTGTTTCATGTTCGCCCACGCAGGAGAAATGGGTGGAGGTGGCCCCGATGTCCACGGCGCGCGCCGGTGTCTCTGTGTCAGCCGTCAACGGGCTGCTTTACGCAGTCGGCGGCAGGGCCTCCAGCAGGGACTTCTCGGCCCCCGTGACGGTGGACTCGGTGGAAATCTACGACCCCCACTTGGACACGTGGACCGAGGTGGGCAACATGATCACCAGCCGCTGCGATGGCGGGCTGGCGGTGCTCTGACCGCTCCCGGGCACCCGAAGCGTTCCAAAACTGTGAAGAAAAAAAAATCTGCACCCGAAGGAGCACAGCTATTATTTATGGACGCATCTCAATTTTTTTTCTCCAAAGTCGTCGTGAGCGTTTGTCATCTTGTGGATAAGGAAAAGGCACAAGCAAAGCTCACAACGGAAAGTGCCAAGAATGAAAACTCTGCTGTTACAAGACTCATCCGATTCCTTTATTTTCAGTTTACTAAAGAATTTTACTTGAATGTCAGGGCGACAAAACAATTGCCCTTCTCACTTCTTCCTCTACAGTTGCAGACAAAGCTATCCTGATAAGGATAGCGTTCCCAGTGGAGGAGCTCTAGTTTTAGGAATGTGTGAGGACTGAGAGCACTTTGATGTTAGTGCACTGTTTTTTAGTTTTATTTGACTTTTCCATCATAGATGTGTGGATCTGCAGGCCATCCAGAGAAATCTATCTTTTTTTTTTTTTTAAAACATGATTGAAGGTTAAACCAAATGTAACTTTTGGGTTTCATTTCATGGCAAACTTGAACAGTGTGCCACTAATAAGACATTTGCAAAGTAGATCTGTGTCAGTTAGATCATTTTTCTACACGTGCCGTTTGTAAATACCTGTGGTTATGTCGCAGCTTGAACTTTCGGAAAATATTAAAAGAACTCTCTATTTATATTTCTATGTCTGAATGTGGAGTTGTACAAACACCATTCAAAAGCAGCACATGCTGCGTTTGAAAGACAGGACATACCCACTGGATAGCAAACAAAACAATAAAATGCTACCCCACTTATTGCATCTCACTTTTGTTTCACAAAAAAACATTTTCATCTTCACTTCAGTTATCACCCATCCATAGAACATTACCGTATAACCTTGTAGCAAAGGCAAACTTCAGCCAATAGCCTTTGTGCCCAAATCTAATTTACAATTCCTTTGCCCCTTCTTGTCCTTGAGTCATTGGGCTTGATGGCACAAGTTGATCTTTAATTTGATGGATTTTGTTTTCCAAATCAATTCCCATTAGCCAGAGTGTGCTAAAAAACAAACAAAGTCTTACTTTGTGGCTAACTTGTCGTTGGTATACCCAAAGCTGTCACCCAGTGACAGGCAGTATAATCACAAAAAATGTATTTCAGTAGATAGAGGTAAAATGTGCCCTGCACCAGGCTAAACTTGGACAAAACTAGTGTTGTCTCTGGAAATGGTTTCACAGTTTGGGCTTAAAAAGTGTTACCATCAACTAAAATTTGAGTAAAGGGTTAGGGTTAGAAAATTCATGTCAAATGACCATAAAAATTGGCGAGCTGTGATCTAAAGGTAAAAGTTTTTCTACAGCTAAAGTATCTTTTCATGCAGCTCACTTGAAGGCAGAGTGAAGGCACCGTTGTTGCACACTGGACTCCTGTGATTAAATACAGAGAAAGCCTTCGGGGGGATGGGGGCTGGTGATTCCACACCATTGATTTGTCTCTGAGCTCTAAACTGAGCTTGTGACAGAACCTGTTGATACTCGGCTAATTCCACTGTGCCTCTGTGTGTGTGTTTGAAAGATCAAACAGGAACAGAAAATGATTGACAAAGGAGTCTTTTTAGTGGCTGAAAATGTTTAACTGCTTTTGTGTGCAAAAAAAGGTTTGCTGATACAGAAAATTTAGAATATTCCAACTAACTCTTTGCAACGTGCTCTGAAAGAGCTGCAGATCAAACCACTTGTTGTTCTAAAGTGTGTAGGAAGTCCCTAAACTTCTGCAGAAAGTACTAAAGAAGTCTGCACACAACTATCTTTATCAACCATTTATGAATAAAATAAAAAAAATATCAAAGAGAAATAAATTAGCTGGTGCTGTTGCTCAGGACTGCCTTAGAATTCTCCCATGATGCATCTCTCTTATTTCTGTTCTTTTCACAAGTGACATGATCATTACTGTGGCTTGTTTGTCCTCTTTCTTAACTGGAATCCTTGGTCTGGTCTTATCTTATCCCTTCCTCTCCCCCGTTTCCTGTCCTCTCCAACCCAAGCTCTTGTGGGCATATGGTCATCCTCCCTGAATCTGTTGAATGAAGAGGTGCCTTCCGGTTAAAACTTTTTTTTTTCTTCCTAAATATAAATTTTTTACCAATCTATAGGTTTATTTAGCTTTAAACCAACTTTGTGAGAAATGGAATTTGGAATTTACTGAACTGGACTCTAATTGGCTTGGGTTGGACAGTCTTTTTGGGTTAAGATTTGATACCATATCAATAAAACTGACTTAAACTGAACATAATAAATGAATAACCATTAATGATTAATTGTCCGCACATCCGTAATGAATTTCCCATTTTTTATTAACTCCACGAGGTCCGATGCACTACTTGTCTCCTTAAATCACTTCAGAACGTCTTTGATCTTTCTCTCAGCGCAGAATCTCTTCAGTGCCAGCGTGGCAACCAGTGAGAAGGTGGCGACCAAAGTTAACACTGTCCTCATGGCTTTGAACCAGCCGGGATAGCCCGGCAGCAGAGTCAGGTCGTAGTGCAGGGACAGACCCAGTCCCATGATGACCACAAGGGCTCCCTCTGCGATGTTGTCCCTGCAGAGCAGCGCTAACCAGGCCAGAAGCGACGGCACCACGCTGTTGCCCAAGTTCGTCCAGTCCGGTGACGCAGGACTACCGGGAGGAAGGGCAAACCCCCACCGGGCCCCTCCGAGGAAGGACACTATGGAGGCTCCATACACCATTTGAGCATATGCAACTTCGGGGTAGAAGGATTGCGTGGCGGCCATCAGCAGAGGGGCTGACAAAAAGGGGATGAGCCCCGAGAAGCCGAGGTACAGGGCCGGTTTAGGCGCCTGGGCGAGCGCCTTCATGCCAAAACCTTCTTTGCCGTGGACCCTTTCAGAGGCGTCTCGTGCATCCCTGTGGCAGGGACGCGAAACCTGCCAGCTCACAGGCCCGATGCCCAACAACCTGTTGGTGGAAATGAATCTGCACGTGCTAAACGCAGAGGAAGTCTGAGGATGACACTGCAGGTGGTGCTTTGTTGTCGACTCCTGGATACATCTCCACACTGGAACCTGAGCGCATAATGCACACAATACGGCATTAATATAATATTTAATCACCCCTGCAAGACACAGCGCTTTTGCATTCTTGTGTAAGGTGTATTCATCAGCTGTATTATATTTATATATATGCATATATCTTGATTATTCTTACCCCAGATAACAACCGTCTTCCAGAAGCAAACCTTAACATTTTCAACCTGCAAGAGTATAATAATAATTTTTAAAAAAGGTCAGCAACAGCTACACTTCAGACTTCTAGCTAAATGGCCACATAAAGCTGAAATTCAATAACAGCTAGCATTCGATCTTGTCTCAACCTGACGCAACACAGACCTGATCCAGTGCAACAGCCCTTATAATGATACACTTCAATGAGGTGTTCGAGTTACCTCAAAGTTACACTTCAGCTTTCTTTACCGGGTGGGTTGGAAATACGGACACGATCAGATAATCACAACGTTAACGTGGACTAGCTAAGGTAGAGGTCGTTTGCTTGCTACCATTTGATCTGTGCTCGACTAAACCCCTATCGCCTTGTGCTGGACGGGACTGATTCTGCCATTGACTAGTTTGGCTGTCGGTGGCTGGGACCTACTATGTATGATTCAAAGTCGTAAGGTCCCACTACAAGTGTTTATCAGTACGTTCCTCTAAACGTTACTAATACATTTAAATGTGTCACTTTATAGTTTCAGATATAGCATTATCCATACATCAATAAAGAAATGCATTATTTAAGAGTAACTGGTCAGACATTTCAGATTAAAAACACCGTGGAGTTGCAAAAAGTTGCATAATTACGAGAGGTCTTGAATGTAGCACAGTTGAGTCTGTTCGAATCCCTCAGTGCCAGCGCCAGTGGTAAGCGCACTTAAAACCCAAACAAACATCGAGGGACCTTTTAATGAAGAAGTTACTACTTGTGAAGAAGAATAGTTTTGTTAGAGTTTGCAGACTGTATATGTATCTGATTCATTCTCTACCTGGGACTATCTCTCGCTCAAGAAGGTATGCGGTATCGCCATGAAACAGTCCAAGTTAGCTCGCTAGCACTTAGCAAGCTGATAAATGTGTGCTACCGCTGCTAAGGTAGCCATTTTGAAACAGTGTTGTTCCAGCTAAACCAGGTCTGTTTACCTCTTTTGTATGTCTGTGACAGCTGGTTAAATAGATACTTTGAGTCTATTTTAAATAATTTAACATTTTCTACTTGTGTCAACCTGCTAACTGCATTAACTCATTTCAAAATTTTGACAGGATTTTGAGGCGACTTAACAAGCTAAGTAACGTCAGCTCACGGCTAATAAATGCTAGGCTAACGCGAACCCTGCTTAACTGCACAGAGTTTGCTAGTAGGGGAGTTGGGACATATTTGACAGCGTTATTATTTGCCAATTAATGTGAGCTAATACGATATATCTACAACTGTTCTGGGTCATAAATAGTTGTGGTGCACTTTTTCCCCCACATTGTTTTGCTAGTTAGCTTGGATAAACGCGCGTGTTGCGTTAACTGTGTTGAATTGGTTTGCTGCAGTGTTTGTAGACAGGCATGCGGGGTTCGCTTACTTTATGCTAATTTTCAGTTGCGTTCTCGCATACACAACTTTGCTTGTGTCGTCGTTAAAAAGGTGAGCATTTTTTTTCAAATAAGTGAATGTTTATACGGCACATTGGAGCCCGTGGCAAACTCATTGAATGATGAGCTGTTATGTAACACAGTTGAGCGAGACTACGTTATCAAGCCTGTGGTCGTTGTGTGTTTATGCATGGATATTGAATTATTGCACTTGTCTAATCTTGTAACATAGTATTCCTTATGATAACAACTTCAGTTTAGTCTAAAATAACGGACGCCAACGGGCCTGTTTGGATTCATAGCAGTCATGCAAGAAGTGCTGCGAGGAATGTGTCCATATTGTTTTTTTACGTTGGTAATAAATATTTGACGTACAGAGACAGATTTTCACGAAAATGCCAGCTTTCAATGTTAAATGGGTGCATCTCGGAAATTATCCGATGATATGTTTTTTTGTTCTCCTCATGGCTTCCACTTTATACTGTTGATGTTTGCACGAAAATGACATACGCGTTCTGCGAAGAACACTTTCACAGTTTGACAAACGCTTTAACGGTTCTTGTAGCATCCTAGCTACAGAGACAAAACTAAATCTTCATTTATTTCCAGTCATCTATGTATTTTTCTTGGTGTTGATGGTTATAGTGGAAATATTGCTGTTAAAAATGAAGGTTGTTTATATGTTTTGTGCACTACATTTCACGAAATAAGAACAGTTATCCCAGTTTTACTTTCAACTGAAGTAGAAGTTTGTTTTTTATTTTCAAATATAAGGAGCTTTGAGATCAATTTTGTGAAGGAAACCCATCTGTGTTTTTGTCTGTTGCAGATCCAGTCTGTTTCTCTGCATATTACCTGTGAGCCATCAGCAAGAAGAGCGTAACCTGCGCCAAAACCTACTTTTTTGGGGGGGTGAATCTCAATCAAAGGAAAGACAAGAACCATTTGCAGATCTTGGAGGCACACTCTTTGTCAAAGCACCCATTTTTCTTGATTTGAAAGAGAAGCTGATCAGCTGTCTTCAGTTAGTTTTGAGCAAAAAGGACACCCATGAAGGCTTTTTTTTACTTTTGACCTTGCATATCTATGAAATCAGAGCTGTTTGCTACATCTGCTCCAGTTAAAAAGCATCAGCTAAGTAAATGGGCATCTTACAAATGTGATTGTAGAGTTTCTAAAGAGAGAACCGGCATTATGGTGCATTATTCAGCAAAGTCTGTGTTTCATTAACCAAAACTGAAAATGACAGCGATGTAACATAGGGCTTTATCTCCTTCATTGTCATGTGACTTTGAACTTTTGGTCATTATTTTCCAGGAGTGAAGACAGTCTTTTTCACCAGTTTAATGAGGTGAACAGTGGTTCTCGGTGACCTCCATTGCCAATAAGACTGTCTCTGAATTCATTTTTCTTTTCTTGCATGCGTTCAAGTAGCTCTTAAAATGATTCGGTAAAAGGTGGATCGACTCAAAAGCGTACTGGCACACAGTGTGGCAGGACAACACCAGTCTCCTTTCCTCCATCTGGTGTCAAAGTGGAACTGCTTCACCACTGCTGTCCATGTTCCAGGGCAGACCTTTTTCACAGACTTGTTCCTGATATTAAAGAGAAGACAGGCTGGCATTTCCTCACCACTAGGGACTTATCACCTGTTGGATCCATTCATTTTGCCAAGTCCAAACTGGTTTTGAGTCTTATTCATGACAGTACTAGTTATCGAATGTAAAACGTCAAAGGATTTAACCTGCCGGAGGGGGAAAAAATCTAAACGGTGACTGTGATCTGAAACAATAAAAGTCATCGAAGACGTGATCGACAGAACAATTTGGATTCTGGTTCAAGGAGCAAAATCCATCTCTCATAAGACCTCTGTGCTTCAGCCTCGGAATCCTCCTTCCTGCTTGGCCAGCTTTCTGGATCACCATTCCAGATCATTCCTGCAACTTTTCAGTCTCATTTCCAAGTGTTTCACCCTGGACGAAGGGATCTGCCTCTGGAGAAAGGGGCTGCACTGTCCTGGTGGAGGTGGACTGGGGGTTTTTGTTGTGCCGCTCCCCATCTGTCGGTGCACAAACTCTGTGATCAGTGCCAACAGGCCTGAGGAACTGAGCCCAGCCAGACAGGGAGAGGAGGCGGAGGACTTCAGAGCCAAAGACTCTGGGGTAATTTTCAAGTTTCATCTCATTGACTTACAAAGGACAGATGCATATAGCTCTCCTCTGGAGCTTTCAGTCAACAATATGTGAAAAGGCATACTGATTCTCTAGTATAACTGAACAGAAAATGATTTTTAAAATCACATAATACATTGAATCAGCCATTACAGCTATAACACACATGCGTCATTCTACAGAAAACTTGTATTTTCCACACTAGATGTTTTCCGATCTCTGCTGTCAGCCAGTTCTCAGCTTCACAGGCACAGCTGCAGCAAGCAGGGCTTTTGTTATTTTCTGCTAAGAATAGGATTTGTTTTTGGCTTTTCTTGTGGGAGAACATCATACAGCGAAACAGAAGTCACAGAATGAGGAAGAGATGGTGATGAAAAGATTCAAACTTGTTTGCCTGAGGATTTTAAATAATAACTTATCTCTTTATTGTTCCTCATCCTTTTATGTTTCCTCCTGTTTTTTTTTTTTAGATCCTGGCCATGAGGTTTGATGCCTCGATCCACTGACCGGAAACACTGGACCTAAATGGCGCAGCATGACTTTGTCCCTGCCTGGCTTAACTTCTCCACGCCCCAGCCTGCCAAGGTAGAGGTGTGTGAGCATGTCCATGTGTTTTTGTCATCACTGCCTCCGTTGGATTTTTGCTTTTTTAATCGCCAACCTGGTCGGGTCCGGTAGCCAAAAGTCTACTAGGAATGTGGCAGAATGCTATCTGTAGGGTCCTGGTTGGAGATAAGTTTTGCTTCTATAAGATGCATTCAGGCCCATGATTTGAATAAGGCTCTGAACAGTGAAAGGTCAGTATAATACAGCTACCCAAGCTCGTGGGGTTGTGTGTTATGTATGTGCACATTATGTTGGTATGTAAGGAAGTTTATGGGATTGCTGTAAAATCCTCTGTTTGCTTATATATCATGGTGTGGACAAAAGAAACCTAACGGAATGAAGATGATCCTCAGTGGTTGTGGGAACTGAACTGATGTCCCAAAGGTCTTTGAAGGATAACACCTTATTCTATTTTTTTGAATGAGTTTGCTTTTTTTGTGTGTGTAGTCTGTGGCAATTCAACTTGGGGAAAGAGCATCCGGTTATTTGATGGTTCAGTAGAATGTCATCAAGGGTTAGTTGCCGTTTGCTCTAAAATCACTTTTAAGTAAAATCATCATTTTAATTTCCTCATATTTATCCCTACAGGTCCCTTTTTCTTTCACATAGACCAGTTTTTTAACTTTGAAAAAAAAAGAAATATTACATTAAAACAATTATTGTTTTAAAAAATATTTTCATTTGGCATGAATACGGTTATAAGACCAAAAATGGATGGACACACTAACAGTATTTTTACTTTTATGGTTGTAAAGCTGATTTTTCTGCACTGACTAGCGATGGGTTCAAAGTCACAATCGGTTTTTGGCCTGAGCAGGAAACCATGACCAGTGCAGAACTTGACGATGATTTGATTGATTAATCAAACGATTTGTCGAGATCAAGCCGACTCTGCCTCAGCTGACCTACTGTAGCCTGGGCTCATGTTAAACCTTCCTGCTGGTTGGGTGGAATTGACAGTGAGCGCTTACTTATGCAATCAAACGCATCAGGGAGGCTGTTACAGAGACGGTTCTTATGAGGTTTTAAGACTCTGCCTTTTGATGGATGGCTTTGCTTTGTTGTTTCCTTTCGCTCTGAAGTCCGAACGCGCGCTCTGCTGACGCGTTAGTGATAGAAGTCGCTCACAACACTTCAGCCAGTGTTGTTGAATCCTTTTATCCCAGTGAAGTGACGCAAACTTAAGTTCCTGCTCCAGGACCTCCGTGCTCCGGCATTTGGCCCGCTCGTTCTATATAAAATGAATTACTTAGAGGTAGAATTGTCCAGCCGCAGAAATAACAAGTTAGTAGCATCCCTAAATTGATCGGCCACCCAAAGTAAATGTCGAGCCGTCACCAAAACAATAACGTTCACAATGTTCAGTGTCCCTGTGGGACCACCGTAAGTTAAACCTATACTGTTAAGCTGTGCTATAAAACATCAAGCGATTAAAAATGCTTTTGTGGTGAGCGCTTGGAACTCTTGTTGTCTTCTATAGTCAGGCTTTGCAGGATGTGATGGCCCAACAAGCTGTAAATCTATGTGTGTGAATGAGGCACGTTTCCTTATACCACTGTTTCAAGCTTATCTCATTCAAAACCTCAAAGTGGTTGCGCTTAGAAAGTGTGCCCCCCTCGTGCTTTTGATTTCACCCTCGCATATGGCAAAACAAAAAGTTCATTTTGAACTTTTATATAATAATTTGTGTTAATGTTCAATGAGCAGGAGTCATTCCTTTTTTTTTCTGTACTTGTCATGGAACAATAAACGTGCAAGACATCCAGAAATATACTACGGTTCTGTTAGGACGTTGACTCTTTGGTTTGATCAGCTACTTTGCTGGATATTAAATAAAGAAATACACCTGTGGAGGAGATGTACACAGGGTTTTTTCCCTCCCCTTTTTCTTTTTTTTTTTAACCTGTGCTTCCAAGACAAATTATATGTTTTTTAATTGCTCCTCCTCATTAAGGAAAGCATTGTAGTTATGATGCCCTAATACCTTGAAACATATCTCTTCTAAGGTATCAGAAAGCTGCTTCCGGTCATCGTGGACGGAAGCCCGTTTAGTCATATCCTCTCTATGTGAGCCGCGAGCTATGCTCCCACATGAGGGGTTTTGTTTTGCAAACACAGCACACCATGCTTCATTACAGTAGTAAATGTGGTGGGGCTTGTTTTCCTTTCAAATAGAAAGCCACAGTCTGACACCACTCCTATTCTTTTCTGTGATGCACAGTACATATTTAAACGCATGATTTTTTTTGCACATCATTCAAACGATCTTTTATTACTCTTGTGCATGCACTTGTAAATAAGCTTTTTTTGTTGTTTTAAAAAAAAAAAAAAAAAGCAAGTCAGGGCTATGAATGGAGGCTGATGGCACCCCCTCTGTGTAATATGTTTTATTGTACATCAATGCTACATTGTTGCTTGTAGAGCAAAAATTAAGAAGGTTTTCCATGTATTGTGTTTTATTTTTTTATTTTTAATCCATTAGATCTCACAGGATAAACCCATTAAATATGTCGAGGGTATTGATTCTTTTACCTATTTACCCAGTATGGCCGTTTGACAAGAATTGGTTATTCAGCCTTTTTAGATTTTCTGAATTCATGTTGTTTTTTTTATTTATTTATTTATAGTCCCATCAGTATGTGGCACTATTTTTTTGGTAAGTCTGTTACTTGTTTTCTGGACAAAAAAAAAGGTAGGCTCCAATCAGTTTAAGATAAATAGTGGAGCCAATCAAGATTTATTGAAGTGCGACCGTTGAACCGAGGTGTTGTGTAATCTTTTCCCCAGTCCAGTTTCCATTCGGAAAGCAGGTCTGAAAACTACATTGGCTTTTTGTTTTTTCTGAAAAAATGTCCATTTATTCCATTAACGCCTTAAACTGTCAGGCAATGACTTAATGCCGTCGCTGGAGAGACAAGCAGGGTATTTTATTGATGGATATTCAGTGTCAGAGTTGAAAAATATAGCTTTGTAAAGCTTATTTTAAGTTTGAATCAGGAAGTTGCCTCACCGATCTGAGCACAAAGTCACTATCATGTTGACAAGTGAACCGACTTCTTTTTGCAGGTTATTCTAGATTTACATGTTGGTATCTGAGCTCCAGTTCTGCTCTCTCTTGAAAGGTTTTTGTCTCGGGTGTTCCTTCCGATTACTTCTAATTGTTTCTATTAGGGATGACCTTATTAGGGACGATCCTGAGAATATGACTCAAATATTCAGTCACTTTTGACGCTGACAGTCTTTTTGGGTCGTGCGGTGTCTTTTGGTTCAGTTTCCGTCCCTAAAAATAGTTCCCTATTGTAATGTTTTCAGCTGCTTTATTTAGGAATTACAGGAGAAGGAATGAAACTAAAGTATAGGGAGCGATGCTGCTAATCTTAGCTCTGACCCCAGGACTGACGGAATGTCCTGAAACGTTGTCCAAGACTAATTGCTGTTTCTGTTGTGTAGTCCTCAGTCTTCCCGGGGAGAGCTTCTGTGTCGTCCTGAAGTTTTCTCTGCGGCTAACCTCCATCTCTCCCTCTCTCTGTGTCCCCCTGCAGTCCCCTGCTGCCAACCTTGACAAACAAGGTGAGCCACCCCATCACAGAGATGGCCGAACTGCTGTGAGCCGCCGCCGCCACAACTCCTCTGATGGGTTCTTCAACAACGGCTCCCTGCGAGCTCCAGCAGGTAGGAACATTACACTCAGACGGTTGAACTAAACAGTGTTGAGAATACTTTTGAACACACATTTATTGTGTTCCCTCCGTTCTTTTGTGCACTTTGAGCTTTTCACCAGATAAAGACCACCATCACCTAGTGTGGCACGTCTTCCAACTTCTTACACCTTGAACCTATTGCGGATTCTCGTTATGTTTATCTCTTTGGCACCTTTTTAAAAAACAAACAGGAAGTGGGGAGCTTAATGAGGGCCCCATTTCCTTTTTTTGAAGATGGTATGAAAGTGCAAGAGTTTGGTAACCATTTCAGGCGAAAATCGCCAAGCACCGTCAAGAATTGGACACAAAAACGCAGTCAGGTGGATGCCTACTGTGGACATATTTCTATTAATGATAGTCAAGTCAACAGGGAGGTGAGGGACGAGTCAACCCGTATTTTGTGTAATCACAACTGAGCCTAGATTGGTCCCTTTTTCTTCTATTCAGGTTAAGCCAAAAAGCGTCTATCTGGACATATTTTACACATGCTTGCATATTTTACACACACAAAACAACATATGTCATTCACACGCCTCCATTCAGAGACCGTTTTACACCTTTTTTTTCATACCACTCTTTCGTCCGCTCTTCCTTTCCTCCCCTCCTCCCTTTTTTTTTTCTCACTCGCCTTCCATCGAGTTTACACCACCGTAATATATACCATATGTCACATAGCAACAGAAAGCACGCATTCTCAAGGGGTAATGGGAGCAATGAGATCTCAGTTACAGAGTCGGAGTAAAATGACCTGTGGCATCTATCGGTCTATTATGTTGAACCTATTAAGAAAGGCTATAATACAAGTTCCTGATGCGGATGAGCAGTCAGATCATGTAGAGGTGGTGGTGTTACTGGTGGAGTTTGGTGAACTGTCTGCGTTTGTTGCACCTTCAAGTCTCCATTCCCGTTCTCGTGGTCCTGGTGGTTTCCTTGATGTTGCAGTTCTTCCCACTGTAAAGACAGTCACAGCAAGGCCCTCTACTTCGTGATTGTGCTTCAATGTGCCGAAGCATCTGCAACCTCAAAAAAACAAAAAACCTTCTCAATCCACATCTGTGTGTTTATATTTTGATGCTGAATCGCAACCACCCAGTCATCTTCAGACAGCAGCCTAAACGCGGGTCTGTCCATTGGTCCGCAATCGCTGGTCACTGATAAATACATTCCAAACTATCAGCAAACCATCCACAACAAAGTCCACTTTTAATCACCATGTGTGTTTTTTGTCTTTTTTCCGAAGGCGATGGATGGCAGCAACCCTCGCTGCTACTGAGGCACGACTCGGTGGACTCGGGGGTGGCCAAAGGGGGACACGGCGGGCTGGCGGGGGGCTCTTGTTGGAAGGAAACACCTAGCTGGCATGGAGCTCCGCGGGGCGCCCAGGACGGCCACCACCACCAGGGACGCCACCCCAAACGGGGAGGGGGCGACAGGGACAGGCAGGGGGTGCACAGGCAGCGCAACGGAAACTTCCATCCTCGCAAGGGCACCTCGTATCAGGACAAGTTTCCCAACGAGGAACGCAAAGACGGCAAGGACGACAAGCTGAAGTTTGTGGAGGAGGACTTTGTGAGTAGAGATGAGTCGCAGTAAAGAGATCGCTGTCTTTCGTCTTTGCCGTAAACGCGGCTTGAATCCACAGCAAAATATTTCATCCTCACGCTCTCTTTTGCCTGTGCAGCCTTCCCTCAACCCTGAAACAACTGGAAAGCCCGGGACTCAGACGCGAACAGTCGCTCTCCACGCTGGGGTGTGGGGTAAGAACTAGAGCTGGGCCTTATCTTATCATTCATACCGGTTAAAAAAAAACAACAAGTTGCCCTGGAAAATAAATATATCACGATATGCTAATTTCACCGCACCACGCAGAGGATTGCACTCACTTGGGTCTTGCCAGCGATATGCAAGTTGTGAAGGTGAATGTTTGAAAGGGGGAAATGCATCCAACTCATTTCACCATCACAATCATCAGCACACGTATATTCATCAGGATTTTCTGAGAGCCCGGGAGGAGAGCCCGGCAGCTAGCACTACTTGGAACAACGTACCCTGGTTTGGCATGACATCGCCGGCTCACCTGCTAGCTAGATATCACCCAAGCTGTCACCGTTTGTTTGGCGAAATATATGATGCCAGTCCAAACTGTAGAGAAGGAAGGCTTCTATTATCTTGTTAGGAAACTAGACCAGCATACACCCTCCGTAGACATGTTTTAAGAATACTGTAAAAATGACTAAAGTCATTGTAGTAGAATTAACCTGATGTTTTTATGCAATACTGCAAAGCAACCTTTTAAGGTTATTTTGTCAAGTGAATGATAATAATCATTTCTGTATTTTAAATTCATCGTAATCGTCAGAATGCTCTGAAAAATGGTGATATTATGTTTAAGCCGTAGTGAGTAAGAACGCGCCGTCCCACTTTCCTAACAGTGACCAATCCCCTGATGTCCTATTTCGCTGGTTAATGGAGTATAATGCGTCTGTTCCAGAAAACCCCCCCAGCGGGAAACAGATGGTCTCCAAAATGTTGGTCATCAAGAAGGTTTCCAAGGAGGACCCGAGCACCGCCTTCTCTGCGGGGTTCGCCACTGCCGGCGCCTTGCCCACCAACGGCAGCAAAGCCCCCCTCACAGGCTCCAGCGTCTACAAGAACCTGGTCCCCAAGCCCGCCGTGGCCCCCACCAAAGTAAGACCCACGGCGACAAGTCTGGATTTCACTCCTGCAAAGACGTACGGCTAACGGCCGTCCGTCCTCTCTTCCAGAGCGCCCAGCGGAAGTCCACCGGCAGAGAGATCACAAAGTCTGGCCTTCACGTGTCGGGCCGAGATTCAGTCTTCACCAGCCCCGTCTCTGCAGCCAAACCCAGCCCCCCAGTCAGCGCACCCCAGCACAACGCCCAAAAAGAGGTGAGGATCCCCCAACGTCCTACTGACACCCCCGCCCACCGACCTTCCTTCAAATCCAGCTCCAGTTTTAAACCCGACTCCTCTGTGCAACACCCCCTCCTCCCCCCTGCCCCCCCGCAGCAGCACCCCTCCAGCACGACCCCTCCCATCGACATCGCCCCATCCAGGCTGAAGCTGATGCGCCGCGGCCCCGACCGGAAGAGCGAGTTCCTGCGAGCCCTGAAGGACGAGGGCACCGGAGAGCTGACCACCAGCAGCAGCCCCGGCACGTCGGGAGAGGTGGGCACCAGTGTGGCTGAGGTTTAAAAATGTGTGTGCACTGGGTTTGGTTTCCAGGTAGTGGGCGATAAGTGACGGCTAACTCTTCAGACAAAGTGCCTTTTTAGGTATTTTCACATTTTTATTTTGAGAATGTTAAATCAAATGCATCATACATTTATTTAATTTAAAGCAGAAGTTAAATAGATTTTCAGCAACAACAAGACATGGAAAAGTGTCACGAATAAGAGAGTAGCTGCCAATCGATGAAAATGAAGGATAAAGAAAAATAAATGGAAATAAAAAAACTAGAAACACAGAACAGGTCACATTTGGATCACAAGTTTGGAAGAAAGACATTTTAGAATAATAATCGGGCAGGAAACTCAGACAGAAAAAAAAAAAAAAAAAGAAAGAAATCAGATACTAAATAATTGAGCAACAAGTGTTACACAGTGTTTGGCCTCTCATAAGAAATGTAGATATAGCCAGTCCAATAATCAGCAACAAGGGCTCCCATCAACCTGAAAGACTTCCTCCCTGAGATGCAACATCCAACGCATCACAGGACGCAAACTTTTGAGTCCTACACCGCATTCTCAAAGGAAGTCCGAGCAAAAGGGCTTTTACGTGCTTGGCCCATTTGGTCCAGATTTGATTAAATGCGTCCTGTCGCATCCTGGTGGAGGAGGACGGCTTTTCCTTGGCGAGCATTTCACGTGTCGTGTTCATCCAGTCGCAGACTGTATGTTCAGATTCGGGGGAAAATGGCTGGACGGATGTTTACGTATCTCTGCCCAATGACCCCACAGCCCCAGAAAAGATGGAAGTGACCGGTTCCCCTGGTCCCACGCTGCCTCAAACATGCGTCTCTGCTATTTTGAAGAGGTTTTATAGGTTGTTGGCATATTTTCCTTTATCGTTTTCGATGCTGTCATGATTCCCTAGAATCCCCTAGACGTTGTGTTCCTGTGCGGTGTTGTTTAAACCGGGTTAGGGATGGGGACTAATTCCAGTGTCCAATCTGGAAACATCCGAGAAAGTCACTCAAAGCTAAACCCCGTTTGTTCCGCAGGGTCTCAGAACCCAAACAGGCCCCCTTGTGGACCCCTTTTGATGCCCATCTTTGGAAAGCATCATTCCGTGCATTGGGGGGGAATTCTGAGCCACAAGCCCGCCACCTCCGAACGATTGACAGTTCACCTTTTGATCGGCCCATTCCATGAGCTTAGCATCGCTCAACTATGTGCCCATTGGCAGTTGAATATCCGTCATTGTTGCCATCGTGGGTGGATCTTTTATGTCCTCGGCTGTTATCTAGACAGGTTAGGAGTGTTAGTGTAAGCCGGGCAGCAGGAGGGTATTCTCTAAGGCAAAGAAAGCCCATGCCCCCCCCTTTTTCTTCAGATATTTGAGTGTTTTGTATTTAATTCTGGACCCTTTATGCTTCTTTTGGTACATCATCCCTTCCTGTCCCATTCCTCAGTCTTTCTGAGCCACTTTAATTGGTAGGCACAGAAAAATGGGAAGGATAACGATCTTTGTGGATTAGACTGGAGAGCATAAATTCAAGGAGGGAATTGGGTTCCATCTTTTTGTAATTCAGGTTTTCTTTTTTTTTCGTTTATTCGTTTATTTGATAGGGACAAGTATGTTTCATGAAACATGTCACACACTACAACATTTTAGCTAAGGCTAATTATCAATGCTTTTCCCCAGTTAGGCTTTTACACAAAACACAGTGACTGTACACAACTAAACAAATTACACACTAAACATCACAGATACAAAATTATGTCAGTTAGATTATTAATGTTCACATGTCTGACCTCTCAATAAAAAATCTTTAAGTTTATGTTTAAAAAGGACCCAGTTTGACTCTCCCTTCAGTTCTGGAGGTAGTGTATTCCATGTTTTGGTGGCTTGTACAATGACAGGTTAAGGGTCCTTGGGCAGAACTACTAATGTTTATTTCCTCTGAGTTACAATTATCTTTTTATCTAAGTTTTCTGGGTATAATTCAGAATTGACATCTGGCTTTTGATGATATTGATTTTATAACGAGAGAGCGATCCATTCTTCTCCAATTGCTGGGGAAAAGAGCCTCTTTTCTTTCTTCTTCTTAGTCTTTTCAAGTGGCATCATAAATAAAATGAGTTGTATTTGTGTCATTGCGTAAAAGACAACTTTTGTGGGATTTCTTTCTTTTTTGGGGGGGAGGTGGGGGTTTGATTTGCAATGTTCTTTCTTACCCTGCGAATCTCCTCTCAGGGCGACAGCAGCACGCCGGAGCCCAAAGCCTACAGCGAGGAGGTCTGCCACGAGAACGGTCTGTCCTACTCCCTCAGCGACTCCGACACCGAACACCTGTCCAGCTCCCTGGAGGCAGAGCACAGGTAGGCCCCCCCCCATACACACACACACAGACAGACACCCACAGACTGTGTGTGTGTGTGTGTGTGTGGCTAAGCGGGGGACACCGCCCCCTGTGCTTCCAGGCTGCTGAAGGCCATGGGCTGGCAGGAGTACCCAGAGAACGACGACAACTTCCTGCCTCTGACGGAGGACGAGCTGAGAGAGTTCCAGACTAAAACCGAACAGGTGAGACCCCCGAAAGGGAAAAGCCCGGAACCTGAGACCGCCACACCGGGATGTTAACCCTGTCTCTCCCCCCCCCCGTCCCCGTCCCCGTGCGACGCAGCTGAAGAAGAACGGCATGCAGAGGAACGGGGTTCTCCCGCGGACACGGGGCGTCACCCTCCACTTCACCCCCTGGCGGAGTGTGGCGGAGGCCCGCGTGGAGGAGGGCTCCGAGTCCGAAACCAGTAGCAGCAGCCAGACCTCCGACGACGACGACTGCATCAAATCCTAACGTGGCTTTATGGAACAAACGAAAATACAAACAAAAAAACACAAAAAAAACAGCCAACACCACATCCCGGCAAGCAGCCCCCCCCCCCCCCCTCAATCCCCTTCTTCCTCTCATCTTTGTTTTTTAGAGCACCATTTTGAATTTCTTTTCATTAGTTTTTCTTTTGTTTTGTTCTTGTTTTTGTTTTTTTTTGGTTCTCATTCTTGCACAAGGGAAAAACCAATCATATCCCAGTGAAGGGGGAGATTCCTGCTCTGCCAGACGTCATTTTCCCTGCGTTTCCTCCTTCACTGCAGTCCCTGACCTCTGACCTCCCGACCCCCTTCTCCCACACCCCCCCCACCTTCCTTTCTCTTCCTCGCTTTGTGGAACTGAAGTGTTCATCAAGAAAAGAAGGGCAATGAATGCACACTTGATTCTGCTTTAAACAGACTAACTCATTTCATTGATGATGCTGATGACACATTATTAATGATATTAATAAAAATTGGTTCCTGACAAGCTGATATGTTTCAATATGAATCTGGCTACTGTGGTGTTTGATTTTATTTATTTTTTTTGTGGAAGATGTTTTTCTATATAGCTATCATGAAGCACATTCTATGTTTTATTTCTGTCACAGAGCTTTACTTTGAGATTGGATTTTAGAGGGAAATATCTACACAAACGAGTTCAGAAGAAAAGTGAATTTCAGACTTGAATCAAGCTCATTTCAGTTTCTGCCAACAAGATGCGATATTTCAAACAAGTTAACCTTCTGGAAAAATGTTTTTACTATCAGTTTGACATGTGGCAGCGGAGGATCTTATTCTAGGATTCAGCGACTCAGTCAAACCAGTACTTTTTTAAAGTGGTCATAAACTGTTTTAACATGTTTTTGGTAATCAACAATGCCCAGAGCGCTAAAGCAGGTGCTCGGATTTGTCAAGTTAATGTGATTTTTTTGTAAAAATTATTTTATAATTAGCCTGTTTGGTCATTAAGACATTATTGGAGCTGTTGTACTGACAGTATTGAAACTTCTTTCATATCTACTGAGATGACTGTCCTGGACTTTGTTCACAAAGAGTTATCTTCAGAAAACCTGAGGTTAAAACTTTTTTCACTTAGAAACCAAAATAGGATCCCGACGCTGAACATTTAACACTCGGTGTAATAAACTACACCCCAGACTTACAGGGTGTGGTTTTTCATGTAGCGTTTGATAAGGCGGGGTGAGGCCGGTTCCGCTCTAAATCACACCCCTTAAGGATCCAGACCAAAGGCCTAACGCCAGTTCACTGGTTCAGTTTTATTATTATTTTAACATCCAAAACTTAGAGCAAACAAAAGTTGTTCATTAAAAGGCTTTTTTTTCTCACTTAAGAAACGTAGCACTGACCCATCATAGCCGCTAATGTTTTCAGTGCAAACAAAGGAGCGGCTTTTAGTTTGTCTACAGTTTTGTCTCTTTTGTGTTTAAGCCACCACAGCCAAACGGCTCCAGCTCTTTCATTTCAGACCTACTTTGAGGAACTGTGGAAAATATGCTGAATCAGCAGCTGAGAACAGAAAAACTTCAGTGCCGGTCAGAAATCAAGCATTCTTTTTTAGCAAACTCTTTAATTCAACTTCACATTTTAACAGATCACATTGACAATGGTAGAAAAAAACATTTATAGCAGCAAACGAGTATTAGGAGAGTGTTGATGCAGGAGGGTCGGTGTGTCCTTCAGACTGGAGAGAACTTGCCGTTTGCGTGGCCTCAGCGGCTGTAAGAACAAGAGAGTTAGTTAGAAAATTTTTATTCAAGCCATTTACTTCATTTTATCCAGGTTACACCATTTAAAACCAGCAGATTTGGCATTAAGGGACACAGTATCGGTTTAAAGTATTGTGTGTCAGTGTCTGTGGAATGAGTCAAATTGGATCACATACAGGCAGATTAAAATGGGCCACTTTTCCAGGTGGATTCATGAATAGTTAGAACCTTTAAGTAGCTCTAGAAAGCTCTTGGGACAGCTTAGATAACAGCTATTGGACAAAAGAGGTCACTTGTGAAAGTTAGCTTTAAAAAAAAAAAAAAAAAAAAAAAAAAAAAAAAACCAAACCCCAAAAATTAGCACGAAAAAAAAAAAAATCTGCTCCCCATCCCTTTTCAAAACAGTCGATCTTAAATTAAAATTAATTGCTTCTTAAGTGCCGAACTTCGTACTCACTTTAGGATTCAACTATGGAAGTTAGTCACAGTTGATCAGACAATGGAGAGTAAAAAAAAAAAAAAAAAAATTAATTGGGTTTCCATGCAACCCACGCTTCCCGGCCCCCCCTGTCCACTTCCACGCCGTCGGCATGTCCGTTGGAGTCCCCGTTGGCTTTGTGAACCCCGTTGGTCCGAGTCTGCGGCGCCTCTCCGTCGTCCTGCTTCACCTTCTTGACGCCGTCCTCCTTCAGGGGACTTTCCTCAGGTTTCCTCTGAAATGCGGCATAAAATCATCGTTTGTGGAGCCTTAATACAAAACATGAACAGAATCTGCCGTCCATTTCCATTTATAAGCTGGGAAAAATAGATAAATAGTCCATTTACCTTTTTTCTGACCAGGTGGGAAATATCGGACGCTGGAGCGGTGGACGCAGAACTGCTGGTCGGTTCACCTTTGACCTGTTTAGGGGAAAAAAGTTTAATTAAAAATAAATAAAAACATTTTAAAAAATGCAGTCGCATCCAAAATTGAAACTTGTATGTGGCCATTTAAAAAAAAAATATATATATATTTTTTAATTCATATAAATGTATCAGAATAAGAAAAAAAAAAAAAAAAAAATTCTTACAGCTGTAGTGGATGTGACATCACTGAATGCAGAGCAGACTCCATCCTAAATGATGGGAAAGAAGGAAAAAAAATGTATTTATTAGAGTGAAAAACAAAAACCAGAAAGAAAAATGAAAAAAAAGCAAGTGCAATCCAGCCAGGCTCACCAGCGCGCCCTTGGCAGCCTCGGCGGCGGTTTTGACGGTTTTCAGGCCCTCTGTGGCATCCTCCACCTTCTCCTGGATCTCTGGCAGCAGCGCCTTCAGCTCCTCCATCTCCTTCCTCTCGTCCGGGAGGGACTCCGGGCCCTCGGCTTTGTCCAGCATCCCCTGCAGTTTTCCTGCCAGAAGCACAAGAGTTGAGCTGCTTTAAAAAAATAAATAAATAAATAAATAAAAAATCGGAGGCAGATACGGAGGAAGCGACGACCCTAAAATGGTGGCCTTTCCCCCGGCTCTCACCCAGCCTGCTCTTGATGACTGCGATGGAGCTGTGGAGCGCCTGGATGGCCGGGCCGTACTGGAGGTTCAGGCCGTAGGTCACCCCCAGCTGGTAGTGCGTTTCGGCCAGCAGGCGGCTGTCGGCGTCCAGGTGCTCCAGCTGCAGCCGCAGACACTCCTCGAAGTCCTCCAGGGCCTGCGAGTAGTTTCCTGCCGACAGACAATGCGATAAATAAATAAAATATCCAAAACAAAACCAGGTGGCTTTCGGTCACCAAAATGTGCACCAGGCATCCTATTTTTTTTCCTTCTAAACTGATCTGGAGCGTGGACGCGTTCCGATACCACAACGCCACCTTGGAGCCCCATTTGTGGACGTTTTTTTATTTTATTTAATTTTTTTTAAAGGGACCTGCAGTACCGCTGACAGAGAGTGGGGGCAGAGTTATGTATTAAGGCTGGATGTGAGCAGAAGAAAAACAAACAAACCAGGATGCATTTTGAAGCCAAACGAAGCACCTGCAACTCTCTGAAGGAGTTTGTTGCCTGAAACTGAGGTCAGAGCTGAGAAGTGGACTCTGGCCTCTAGGGGACAGCCAACATCCACGACAACAAACGAAAGGTTTTTTTTTTTTTAAAGCATATCAATCAAGTATAACTCGGCCTTTAAGCTAAATTAACGAGGCGTTTTAAACATCCCCATCAACCAGCGATTCACCTTCAATTTGGTGCTTTTTGATAGCACAAGGAGGGAAAAAATAAGTAAAAAACAAGAGCCATGTGGCGATTTAAAGCCAGCAGAGTCATGTAGGACCCAATGGAAAAGCCCCACGAGTGTGTGAACCTGGCATTAGATCCGTTTCACAAAAAGAGAAAAAATAAATAAATAAATAAAAAAACAGAAAAAAAAAACAACATTTATAGGTCATCTACATCGTGCAGCTACAACAAAAAAAAACAACACAAAATGCTAAACCAAATGCTTGTTCAGCAACTTTCTTCTGTTAACCTGATTCAGCAGAAACTTCTCCCAGTTTCAGGTGAGCCTGAGCCGCCATTAGCTGGTCTTCCTTCGTTTCTTTCCTGATTTGGAAAGAGAGGAAAAACACTCGTGAGGTCGCTGACGGTAGTTTTTGGACTCCGGCGTCCCCCTGAGTCCTTCTGAGTCCCCTCACCTCGCATAAATGACTTTAGCAACCTCCAACATCTCCCATGCCAGCTGCAGGTTCCCCACCTCCTCCTCTTCCTCGCTGTCCTGATGTTTAAAAAGAAGAAGCCAAAAAGTCATATACAAATTTCTCAATTTTTTAAAACATACACAGGTAAAACAGAGTATTAAAAATGTTTGTTTTTGGAATGAGGTTAAAATCTATTAAAAATGGCAATAAATAATCACGAGATTAACATTAATAACTATGAGGAGACTAAAGTAATACATTTTTCTGCTTTTTAGAGGGCTGTAGATCAAATGAGCGCCGTGAAGCATGGAATCTGCGGAAATGTTCTTCAGAATAGGTCTCACAGGGTGGTAACTTCATCTTTTGGCACATCAGAATTAGATTGTCACAACTGTCAGGACGCTAAAAAGAACTTGCTATAAAAACTGCTTTTTTCCCGCAGACTGAAGCAGGCAGACTTGGAGGAGATCGCTGCTTTTGCGGAGGGAAAATGTCTGGAAGCGGCTGACAGCAGGGTTATCAGTGGAGGAGGGCGATTTAGAGGGGTTTGATTCTCGCCATATTTAATGACGACTCAAAGCTCGTAGTTAATTTCCCAAAAAATAAAAAAATTATTTTTTTCTTTTTATGTGGCCCTAATCCTCCATCATACTCAGACCTGACTGTAGATCTGAGAGGGTCCTGCAGTACCTTCTCAGCCGTGGCGTCCCCCTCGTCGGCATCACCTTCCATCTCCACATCGCCATCCACTTCCTCCTCCCCCTCCTCTTCTTCTTCTTCCTCGTCTCCTGTGCAGGCAAAAAAAACAAAACAAATCCAGTTCAGTTGAAGCGCTCAAGAGTCCTCCGCCTGCAAATGAGGATCAACAGCAGGAAGGGAACAGGTCACCTCCTGCCGCCTCCGGCTCCTCTGTGGGTTCCTTCTGCCCAGCAGGCGCCTCGCCCTGGCCGGCCATCGCCTCGCCGGCCTTTGCCTCGCTCTGGTCACTCTTCGCCTCGCCCTGGTCCGCCTTTGCCTCGCTCTGGTCCGCCTTTGCCTCGCTCTGGTCCGCCTTTGCCTCGCTCTGGTCACCCTTCGCCTCGCTCTGGTCACCCTTCGCCTCGCCCTGGTTGTCCTCTCCGGCTTTCTCCTGGTTTCCTTCCGCCTTCTCACTTTGGGGCGGCTCATCGGCGCCCTCGGCCTTCTCCTGGGTCCCCTCTGCCTTCTCCTCCTTCTTCTCCTTCTCTGCCATGGCGTCGTACACCTGCTCCCTTAGCTCATCTCTGGTTTTCTCTGATTGGGAAAATAAATGAATACATAAAAATAAAAAAATCTGAGACCATTGGGGACAAACATAGCAAAGAAGAATATGCCAAAAGTTTACTTTAAAAAGGAAAAACTGGAGAAAAAAAGCATTACCATCTATATTTTCTGTGCTTTCGACATTTGAATCTTTTGGTTTGTCTTTGTTCTCCTCCTCTTCCTCCTCCGGCACTCCTTCCAGAGCATTTCCCAGGACGGAGTTCTCCATCCTGCAACCACGGGGGACACTTAGGGTCTGACCCATTCCTCGGGATTTCGTTCATTCATTCATTCATCTTTCTGATCAGATCCTGTCTTAAAGCTAACGGGGTTCTTAAAGTCTGTGACACCTACCGGGCCAAATCCAGCAGGGCTTTGCCACACCAGAAGAACGCCTCTCCACACTCATCTGCTGTGTCTCCATACGTTTTAGCCCTGAGAAAATAAAAATAAAAAAAAATAAAAAAATAAAAAGTTTGTCACATCTTTTTTTTGTATCTTGTTTTGTCTGTTTACCTGAAAAACCGCTGTTAACGTTTCTGCATTTGTTAATTTGCTGACCCCCCCCAAAAAAAAAAAATGTTTTGTTTTAAATTAAGTTTCTAGACGGTTCTGGCCCGTGGGGCCCTTTGTGGGAGGCCGTGGACTCACAGCATGGCGCAGGCCTCCTGCAGGGCCCCCACGGCATCGACGACTTTCCCCATAACCAGGTACTTCTTCCCGGTGCCGACCAGCTTGTTGGCCTCTTCCATGTTAGCTGCGATACACGAAAAAAGTAACACAAAAGTCAGCGGGGGCGAACAAACTCACGTTCGAAGCGAGCGCAGCCGGCAACCCATTCGACGTACAAAACAATAAAGTTCTCAATTAAGTCGCCTTACCAAAGATGTTGTCCGAAAGAAATAACGGTAGAGGAGCAGACGACGTCGGAGGGTTGTGTTTCTCTTGGCTCCTCTCCGTTGTTTCACGCAAACAGTGAGCTGCCTGGTTTTAAGTTTTTGGCGCGAAAAATCGGTGCGCCTTCCGGTCGATTTCCGGATTCGTACCCGAGCGCGGGACAATTCTTAAAGGTACAGTGCACCTACATAAAAACCGAAGATCTATCTATTTATCTATCTATCTATCTATCTATCTATCTATCTA